GCCCCCCCGCCGCCTCGCCTCGCCTCTCTGCCGACCCCAGCTGCCGAACCCAAGCCGAGCTGGGGAATATTTAGGCAACCACCGTATCATCAACCCCAAAAGTTCAAAACCCAAATGCACAGAATTCATTATATTGAGAAACGCAAAACTTGGGAGGCTCCAGGAGGCGACCCATACGGCGGTGAGGGGTGTCCCCAACAACTGCCTCCACACGGATTTCAAGTTCTAGATCTCACGACGAGTTTTCTGCCAGCAAGTTTCTAAACCTGTAATGTCAATGCGTATTTCAGCAAAAGTTCCTTGCCAAGCATCTCGCTCAAGTTTTGAGGCAGAAAAAGTTTATACTAACACTTGCACTTGGATGTAACAACAAAGTGGGATTTATGGAAGTCAATTTGAAGTTACAGCCCACATTATTCACTGACAGTAAAATGGTTAACTCCCCCAAAAAACCTAACCCATTAGCAAATACCTAAAAGAAAAAAAAAAAAATCCCAGCCAACCACTTTGACTATTCTGAATCAGAGAGAACACTACAAACGGAAACAAGAGCTGCTCAGGAGGGCAGTTTTGGACAGCCACTGAAATGGTTTTCCCATATCACAAAAGGAGCCCATATTTAAAACTCCAGGAAAACCCCTCAACAGCTACTATTAAAACAATGAACCTGATGAAAACTTTTTTTTTTTTTTTTTAATAAAGCCAAAGAGAAATTGTCCCATTTGTTGGGGCCACTTCACTTAAATGGTCATCATAAAATCAGAACAAGAGCAAAAAGTTGCCTTAGCAGACCTCTTTATATCATTTTTCATCTGGGCTGTAAGGAATTATCTTGTTCCTAAATACAGTTTATTATCCTTTCACCTGGTACTAAAATTAGGGAAACCTGAGTCACCTCTGAAATTCAAATTGTAGTTATCAATCCCACAGTTGGGCTAACTCTAGGATTTTTTTTGCCATTCTTAAAAGTGCCCAAGGACTTCCCAAAACAGGTACAATCGCTCGTCTGGAACAACATAGCAACAGGAGTTGCTCTCACACAAAGGCATTAGACAGAAGAAAGGGTGCTGGAAGAGGAAGAATAGGTAAGACAAATGCACTGTCAGCAAGGAGTAGAATGGAAAATACTAGCCTCTTGATTTAGTAAATTTAGTTGATTTAGACTGAAGCAAATGTTAAGAGCAGCATACAACATAAATTCACCCCAGAGGTTGTGCTTTGCATGGACTGAAGATGGTTACTGGCATGTATCTCCTCCTTTATGAAACCTATTCCACATAAATGGAGCAAACAACATTCTCTACAGAGCCTCAGTCAACTTTCCAGCTCAAAGGAGGTGGTGTTAGGCCTCTGGAGACTCATTTGCAGCCAACTTCTGCAACAGAACAGATTTGAGAGTACGATTTCAGCTATGAAGGTATTCCTGGAGGCAGCTTCTGCACCAACACTAAGGCGGCAATAGGGAAGGCATTTTGCCAGAGAACCAGAGAGAACAAAAGAAAAACACTAGTGGGGCAACAAAATACTCAGAATATACTTTCAGAATACCTAGAAGGGGTGTTCTGAAAAAGGCTGCTAGAAGTCATCCAGGGAGCAATTACATGAACCCAGGAGACCAAATCCACCATGTAAAGCAAGTGTGCTACTCTAGGCCAGCAAGCTGGGAAAGACTCAACTCCTATTCACTTCCAGTACAGTGATTGAAAAACTAGAAATAACAGATTATGCTATCATAAAGATGAAAGGAAGAACAACAAAAAAGCCTTAAGCACACAGAAGAAGAAATTGCAGCTGTTTTCACAAAGGCAAACATGTATGTGTGTGTATATATATATATATCTATCTAAAAGACATAATGTGGGCTGAGGATAAATACCTGTTCAGTAGACTGCAGGTAAGAGCTCAGGCCCAAAAGCTCTGCAACAATGCTGGAGCAGCACTGAGGTAAGACTGGTATGTATTGTCTCAGGGAAATTGTTACCAGCTGGTATCTTCATCAGTTTAGTGACCATACCTCTCAGCCTATTCAGGTTATTTCCTAAAATGCTTATGTCTCACGAATCCTTGTGTGAAGTCATCATGGTAGCATAAACTATAACACTATATTCACACTGTAACTTCACTTATACAGGATTTAAAACCTACCCACAATAGTTTTACTGCCTCTTTTTTTTGTGTACATATCTGGACAGAAGAAACCTCAAGACACATTATAAACCACAGGTTCATCAGGAGAGATCCATAGATGCTGTAAATCAATGCGTGGATTTTAGTGGTGCTAACATGAGTTTACATCTCCTAACAATCTGTTCCATGTCTATCTGAAGTAAAGATTTCTGTGTGGAAAAGCTGTTTTCCTTCTGCTGCTCCTTTGCATGCTTCAGTAAGGAACAGAATGTCCACATCTAATTTTTCCTCAGAAAGAGGGAGCACTCTTCCTCCCCCACTTCATATAGACGAACTCTGGAAAGATCACTGCTGAAGAACTGAAAGATGTATTCTTTTCAAATAAGAAAGAGGTCTCAGTGATTTCACATTCCTATAATACATTTAATTTGTGAAGAACTTGTAAGTATTGAGTCTGATTTCTTGAAGTTTTCATAAGGCAGAGAAACAATTGTTAGCTTTTTAAAGTGTTATTTTACAGCAGAGCAATCTCAGTGGGTGGTGCATCAGATGGCCTGTAGAACAATTCTATCAAACTCCAGACATCTCTTGGCAAGCCTGTGCAGTCAGCTTCACAGGCCTGGAGCCACTAATGTAGCCACATGTTCAGGACAAGCACAGTTGGCTTAAGGAGACAGTCCAAAACTGATACCAAACTTACAGCTTTGAAAAGGCTGTTTAATGGCAGCAATCATTAAATGTGTGACTGTAAAGCAGGTGTAAATTCCACCCATTTGACAGATGAAGCATTAAGGAAACATCCACTTAAAAGAAGTTGCATTAGGTGTAAGCTTTACTGTCCTGCTCTGACAAAGCCTGCAGACATGCTTCAGGCAGGTAGCTTCCTGACATTATTAGCCCTTCTAGTATCTACCATGAGCGTCCTGCATTCATCAGATTCATAAAGATTGAAACATTGGAGTAGCATGCGTTAGAGGACAGAAGCAAAGTTTATTGACACCACCAAGAATAAGTTAATTCAAAACAGATTCACAGTCCTTAATCTTTACTCTGAAGTTACATAGCCTGAAACATAACAGAAGACAACAGTAAGAAACAATATAAAATAGATGCAAACAAGCCACTTAACACTATTTCTTCAAGGCATACTACTATAAAAGAACACTAGACATAAAAAAAAAGCCAAAATGTTTAAAAATGACTCAACTGCAAATACTTAGCAGATCCATATAAATTGCAAAAGAGAAAACCAAAATTCTAAGGGCTCGGTGTATTTAAGACACCTTTGGAAATGGTTAAGAGGATCCTGTTGCAACTTGCAGTATCAACAATATATTTACCATCATCTGTAAGTACTTACTAAATACACCATACGAGCTCCTTCCAGGTGATTAAAGAACTCACTGTATATTTATCATAAAGATCTGAACTAAAACCCACCAAACACGCTTCAAAGTTATGACGTAAACACGGGGTGACAAGTGGTTGTTAGTTAAGACCGTAATTTCACAACCACTTTAAAATTATATAAGCTGGCATTGTCATTGAAAGTAGTCTACCTTTTCCACCACTCACTTATGCCCCTAAAGCCAACCCCTTTGCATGTGAGAGGACAGACATTCACAGTGGAATGAATCAGGAAATTGTTCTGGGTTGAAAACTGTTAATTTCTTTGCCATATCTTTCTAGCTCAGATCAGTTTTTGGACTCAATTTATTACACAGCCATGTTAAAGCTAGCACTGACAAAGAAAACAGGTAGCAAGAGAAAGACACACGTTGGATCTTTCAATGGCAGTGTTATCGTGAAACTTTAGCCAAAGGCACAACAGCACCACTTCCAGATGGCATTTTAATATTCCCATATATCCACTGTTGATTCTCCTGTTCATTTATGGAAAGAAAACAAAACAGAACAAAATTAAAACCATTACTTCATTTTTCAACTTGAAGGGAAAAATACACAAGCTAGCTTTGAGGTTAGCTTTCCTTTCAGACTTTCTTTTATGTAGTATATATTGTACCCATAGTAATATCCTTTTCTCACCACTTCCCTTTAAATGTCTTTGTTTCTCGACAGCAATCTCCTCCCCCTTTACTCCAAGCCTGAGATAAGATAAACTTCTGTAACTACTCCTACCACTACTCCTTTATTTTGCCTCAGCATTATGCTCCCATTCAACCTTGTAACAATTTACACCCTTTTCCCAAGATTTTTTTTTTTAATACCAAACTCACTCCTTGATAAAAAGATTTGGGTCAGGTATTTTATATCAACTTTCCAGGCTCACAATATGAATACTGTGTTCTAACTTATCCCACTTCATTAAGGAACATGAAAAAAGAAAATTCAGCATGAATCTCTTAGACAAAGTTTTCCAAAAAGCCTTCCACTTTCACACAGAAAGTTAAGCTGCCTTTGTTGGGATTTGAAGTGCTCTCCTACCTAGCATGTCATTAAAATGAAAAGGTAGGCACAGAAAACTTCAAAAATAGTGAAACCAGAAAACCACACAACTCTTTATAACATGAGACTCCAGCAGGAACATTTCAATATTGCTGAAAATTAACAGGTTCTTCAGTATGATGTCCTCCTATGCCAGCTTCAGAATACTGAAAAAAAAGCCCTACAAAGGGAAAACAATCAGTGTATAAAGGGAAACAAAAATAACAGCAGCAAATGTATTTCAATAGTAAAACTAAAGTATTTCAGAGCTATTT